CGCCGTATTTCACATAGGCTGAGAAAGCACTGGGATCCCCAGACACCGGGATCTGTGAGGCAGCGAGTCCTGCAGAACAGAGCCCTGGAATGGTTTTGGCTGGAAGGGGGAAACCTTACAGCCCACCCAATGCCATCCGTGCCATGGCAGGGTCACCTTCCCCTGTCCCGGTGCTCCCAGCCCTGTCCAGCCTGGCCTTAAACACTGCCAGGGATCCAGGGGCACCCACAGCTTCTCTGGGCACCCCGTGCCAGGGCCTGCCCACTCTGGCAGGGAGGAATTTCTTCCCAATATCCCTCTAACCTTCCCTCTGGCAGTTGTCCCTTGCCCTGGCACTCCAGGCCCATTTCTATGCTCTCTCTCCATCTCTCCTGCAGCTCCTTCAGGCACTGGAAGGCCATAGTTAAGTCAGCCCAAAGCTTTTTTCCTCCAGGCTGAACAATCCTAATTGTCCCAGCCTTTCCTCACTGCAGATGTGCTCCATCCCTCTAATCAACCTGGTGGCCTCATCTCCAACAGCTCCATGTCCTTCCTGTGCTGGAGGTTTAAAAATCCAAACCCAAAACAAATTAAAAAACAAAAACAAAAACTGCCACCAGCAGCAACAAAAAAGACCCACCAAAACCCCCAAACACCCAACCATAAAAAACCCAGAGACAACAGAATAAAAAANCTGCCAGGTGAGAGGGGTGTGCCAGTCCTGCCAAGTGAGAGGGGTGTGCCAGTCCTGCCAGGTGAGAGGGGAGTGCCAGTCCTGCCAGGTGAGAGGGGTGTGCCAGTCCTGCCAGTTGAGAGGGGAGGTGGTGCCCCAGCTAAGGGGGGAGGTGGTGCCCCACCTATCAGCTGAGAAGGGAGGTGGTACCACAGCTGCCAGGTGAGAGGGGTGTGCCAGTCCTGCCAGGTGAGAGGGGAGGTGGTGCCCCAGCTAAGGGGGGAGGTGGTGCCCCACCTATCACCTGAGAAGGGAGGTGGTGCCACAGCTGCCAGGTGAGAGGGGAGGTGGTGCCCCACCTGCCTCAGTGGAACTCCCAAGCCAGAGGCTCAGCAGCATCGTGATTTGCAACATGATTAATTAAAACAGCAGAAATAGTAACTGGAAAACATGTCAAATGCAAACAAGCATCATAAAAGGGTTGGGACAGCGACTGCAGAGCAAAAACATACACAAGGAATTTGGGGATATTGGAAAGATGATAGGAATAGGTGAACAAAGAGGAAGGATAAAGAATGTGACATTTATGTCATAAAGGTGTCAGTAAATTATATATGAGACAAAACACTGGACACTGTACCACACAGTGTGTGTGAAGCACACGTGTGTCTCACCTGTTCCTAGGAGAGCAGCACTGGACACAGATGAGGCTCAGGACTGGACACGGATGAGGCTCAGGACTGGACACAGATGAGGCTCAGGACTGGACACAGATGAGGCTCAGCACTGGACACAGATGAGGCTCAGGACTGGACACAGATCAGGCTCAGGACTGGACATGGATAAGGCTCAGCACTGGACACAGATGAGGCTCAGGACTGGACATGGATGAGGCTCAGCACTGGACACAGATGAGGCTCAGGACTGGACACAGATAAGGCTCAGGACTGGACACGGATAAAGCTCAGGACTGGACACAGATGATGAGGCTCAGGACTGGACACAGATGAGGCTCAGCACTGGGCACAGATGAGGCTCAGGGATGTGGTTCAGGGATAGGGCTCTAGGAAGCGGCTCAGGGATGTGGCGTGATTTTTGTTTAAGTGCTGAGCANGAGCTGTAACAGCTTGCATAGGATACGACCAAGCAAGGCTCATTTACCTCCCCACACACGAGGTTTGCCAAATGAGGATCAAACTGGGATTTGCTGCCATGAAAATCCTCGTGGGCACGTTGTGGTCGAGCCGAGCTCGCTGGCACAGGCTGCAACAACTCACAGAGATCAAATACCTTTAACTCTCCACACCTTGGGTTTCTCCTGCTCAGCTGAGCTGGCTCAGCACTTCCCCACTTTGCAGGAGCAGAATCCTCCCTTTCAGAGGTGGCTTTGGTCACAGCCAGGGCTTCACCCACAGCATCGCTGCTTTGGGATTTACTGAGGCCACTGGCATCATTAACAGGCTCAGGATCAAAAATGAGATATTCCAAAAGGAATCCTGCTGCTTTCCCACACCAGTCTGGCCCGTGAGAGGCAGAACTCAGAATTAATTTTTAGGTGACAGGTCTAAGCTAGCTAGAATTTTGGATGCAGAAACAACACTGAATTAGGCTCCTTTAGTCAGCCTTTCTGGTGTGAAGTAGGATGATTCTGTGGTTTATAAATAAGCAGTAAAGGGAGAAAAGAGAAATGAAATAAAAAATAATCACTGCTGGATTTGGGGTCAGTCAGATCCAAGGCTCCAGCTGAGACCACAGGAACATTTTGCAATAAACCCTGGAGCAGAAACCTTGGTCCCTCCCAACCTCCTCCTCCAAAACCCTCATAGACCAACAGAGGTCAGACCTATCCCAGGAACACAAAGCTTCCAAAACAAACACCTGCAGACACATTCCTCCTAAAAACCCTACTCTCAAGTGTCATTTACTCCCAGCATCCAAACTCCCCGTGGATTCTCCAGCCCAGAGCAGGATGCTGCTGTTGTGGCAGACACATCAGCGCCAGCACCTCGTGCCATGCTCACCCCACGGCCCTGCCCTGCACATGCACCCGTGGCTCCTGCTCTGGATGCTGCTCCCTCGTGGGCCAGGGGAGGTTTGGGACAGGACAGGACAGGCAGTAGGAGAAACCCCAGTGCAAGAACTGGGAACACTTCAACCAACACAACTCCAACAATTTCCAGCTGTGGAGTTGCTCCGTGGGCCCAGGTTTCCCTGGATCCATTTCCATTCCACAGCTGTGACCCACGTGGAAATTAAAATATAACAACTCAAAGGCCAATATGGAAAATTTCTTGAGACCATCATGGTTTCACACAGGTTTTCCACCAAAAAAAGGGGATATTTCGGTGGTTCAGCTCATGGGTGTCACAGTTTGCTCCTGTCGCACAGATCCACAGAGAGCACAGAATTTTGTCCATGGCATGACAAATTCTGGTGGTATTTCCCATTTTTATCTTGTCTCAAACACACCTTAATTCCAGTTATTGACAGAAGGTGTAGATGGCACTCAAAACACTAAAAGGAGCTTCTCAGTAGCTCAGCACAGAGTTAAAATTCTCATTCCATGTGCTGAAGCAGAAGGGGAGCCCCTTTATATTTTAATATTGAGTGTATTCTAAAAATCACCTTTTCTTGCAAAATTATAGTGGTAAAATCCATAGAGAGCACTTAATGCTTTCATATTAAATAAGCCAAAAAGCCAATTATTCAAATGCTTTACACTCCTCCTGCTGTCACAAAATGGAGGGGGCCAAGATTTGTGCTGCAGAAACACACCTGGACAACCCTCCTCCAAAATTGGATACAAAACCCCAAAATTTTTGCCATTTCAGGTGTGTTCAGTGTCCCCCAACACCCAAACAGGATCTCCTTGGCTGTGTGTGGCAAATTACCCCTTTTGATTCAATGAAAATTGTCCCTCTAATTAAAATAACATTAAAGGTGTGCTGCACTTAGCAGGGCTCAGCCCAACCCCTGCCTTTTGAAATAAAGCTCGGCAAGTTTTGAATTCTGTGGAGAGAATGATCCAAAACGGAGCTGTTCTGCTCCCCTCCATGGGAACACAAGGCATGCTGCCACACAGCCAGCTCCTGAAAGCTGCATCATCTCCACACTGCTGGAATTCAGAAAGCAAAACACAGGCAAAACTGGCTGAACATCAATGCTCCTCCTGTGAGCAAGGCAGAGCTCTCTGGAGCAGGCTGAGAGAACGACAGCCACCCCTCAGACCCCACAGCAATTCCCAAAGGGCTTCTGCTCTTAAAAATCACCAGACATGGAGGAAGGCTCAGTGGGAACATCGCTCCAGCACGTTCTCAATGGGTGCAAGGAAAGCAGCGCCATGGAGGAGCATCATCATCATCATCACCATCATCATCATCATCATCATCATCATGCACAACAGGCAGGTCCAGCTGATGGGGTTGGCAGTCTGGGATGGCACAAAGGGATGAGCCCCACAAATGCACAGGCTGCTCCAGCGCTGCAGGGAATGCACAAAGGAACTGAGACCAAAACTCATCGAGGAGTTATTCTGGCTTGAGCACCTGGAAACCAGAAAGCTGGAGATGTCCGTAAGACCTCAGCCTTGAGCTTGGCCTCAGAATTAGGGGCACTTTTGAGGAACCACGTGCATGAAGCTTTTCTGCACAAGAATTCAGGATCAGGAAGTGTTCAGTGTTCCAGGCCAGGCTGGACAGAGCTGGGATTAAACCGGCCTACTGGAAGGTGTTCCTGTGGAACAAGAGGAGCTTTAAGGTCCCTCCCACCCCAAACCAGGCTGGAATTCTGGGGTTCTCAGTCCACGATGTCTCCGTGGTGTCCCAAAGGAAGGGTCACTGCTCACCCTGTGACACCCAGCTGAGTTACAAGTCCAGAAGCAGCTTTGGGAAGGGTGGTCCTGACCAGTCCAGCTCTGGGGTGGCACGGGAAATGGGCAAAAAGGTTTTAATCCCTGCCGGGTTTTGCTCTGTTGCTTTATAAAATTATTCCTAAAGCAACTCCAAAACCACTGACAATAACAGGGTGAGTCCCTGAGCCAGGAGCTGTTCAGCCTGAGGAGGAGCCTGATCCTTTTCCTCTGGAATTAAACTTTAAAGCCTGGCTTTAGTCTCAGAGATCAGCACAAAACGTGCATAAAAAGGGAGAGAAAAGTGTGGAGGAACAGCCTGTTCATCCCACAATTTGATGGCCCAGGAGCCTTGATTCCAAACTGCTTTGTTCCACAGACTGCAAATCCCATGCAAAGAATCCCAGTGCCATTTCTGAGGAACGAGCAGTGCAGGAGGGGAGGGGAAATACAGAGAGGAGACACACACAAGCCCAGCCTTTAATGCTGAATGGTTCTCACCTGGAATTACAGAGATAGTTTTCAAAGCTCGGAGAACTCTGAAAGTTCTCAATGCTGAGACATTCCCAAGGTCCACAAACTCTGTGACATATCTGCAATGAGGGAGGTCACACACAAAAAACACCATGACAATACACACACCAAAATAAAACAACAACTACAGACAAAGCAATACATCACTCACAGGGGCCTGTACCCGACAGCTAAACACCAACCGGGGCCGCCTTACCTGGAATTACAGAAATAGTTTTCAAAGCTCTCAGAACCCTGAAAGTGCGCAGAGCTGAAACATTGCCTAGGTTTACAAACTCTGTTATATACCTGCAGAATTAAACCAGAGTTAATGGCACCGTTGGGGTCACCTTCCTTTGCACAAATTGTCTGCTTGTAGGAAACAGCTTGTGATTTAAAAACGCTTCAGAACTGGCATTGAAGACAAAGAGAGGGACAAAGGTGCAGGGGTAAAATGTGGTTTAAGTCTCTCTGCTCATCACCAGGTACTTGGTTGGATACTCATCCTCACCTGGAATCATGGAGTGTCCTGAGCTGGGAGGGACCCCAATGATCATCCAGGGCAGCTCCTGGCCCTGCACAGACCCCAGCAATGCCACCCTGGGCCTGACAGCATTGTCCAAACCCTTCTGCAGCTCTGGCAGCCTCGGGGCTGTGCCCATGCCCTGCCCAGCACCCTCTGGCACAAGAATCCTCTCCTCATTTCCCTGCCCTGGCAGAGCTGCAGTGGTTCCCTGGTGTCCTGTGCCTGCTCACAGGGAGCAGAGACGGGAGCTGCCCCTCGGGATGGAGCTGCAGCCCCCCAGGAGCCTCCCCTTGTCCAGCTGAACAGACCCAGAGCCCTCCTCAGACCCTCCCCACCCTGCTCTGGACCCTCTCCAACACCTTCAGACGTTTTTCATATCATGGTGACCCAACCTTCACACAGTCCTAGAGAGAATTTGGAATTTTGAATCTCTGCAGAAAGCGGCAATTGTAAAAGCAAATCTCCAAACATTTGAGGAGATTTGGTGGCACCACCCCGAGCAACCTGGGCTAGAGGGAAACGTCCCTGCCCCTGGGACTGGATGAGCTTCAAGGTCCCTTCCAGCCCAAACCAATCCATGATTCCATGGCTGTACCTCAGGTCAGGGGTTTCAGGTATATTCGCTTCACTTCACGTTTTTTTAAGAAAACATAATCATCTTCTGCTTTGATTAACATCCTTCCATTTAATTAGCATCCTTCATTTTAATTAGCATCCTCCATTTTTAATCCTTTATGCTTCAATGTCTGTTTGTGAGGCACAGGAAGGTTTGGTTCTCCTTTTCCAAGCAGATAAACCCAAGGTACACAGGGGAGAAGAGGCTTTGAGCAAAGTTATATTTCACCCCAGCTTAGAGAACATTTCCTCTGTGCCACGTGGGGAGAAACTTGCTATGAAAAAGCACAGAAATGCTCAACAATTCAACATTTTTCCTGCTGCAGAAAGGCCTCAAGGGCTTCAAAAATCTCTCAGTGTGGTTTAAATAATGCCCTTGACACAAAAAGAATTGCACAGAGGCCACAGGCCAAGGCTGGCCTCTGGAAAGGAAAGGGTTACACACAATCCCCACCGGGGGATTTGGGACATTCCTTGCACACCAATGCCTTCAAACCGGTGGGATTTGGGAATTTGTGGGGAAATGAAGGGATTGACAATTCCCAGGTGGGGTTTGCTCTGTGTGCACCCACACTGGGAGCTCACTCTGGGTTCAGGGTGTGTTTCCACAAGAGAAAAACAAACGAGGCAGGAAAATCAAATATCTCCTTTCTGACACTGCAGCTCCACGGGAAATGGGTTAATAATGGCTCATTAACAGGTTATTAATGGGTTAATCACAGTCCAACCTCCAGTCACAGCTCAAGGAAGGAGTGGTAGGGACTGGAATTTGAAGATATTTGGTTCCTATGCTGATCTGCCCCTCTGGTGCATAAACCACCTAAAATCTTCTATTAATCAAAACAATTTACAGAAAATCTTTTTTATTTTTTTATTTTTTTTGCAGTAGCAACTCCACTAACTCCATGCTGTTGAAGCTTAGAGCTGAAATCCCACCAGGCTAAAACTTTCACTGAAGTTTTCCTTGATCTTCTTTTTCTTTATAAACCTTTTTTTGCTATGGGTTGTCCCCTCCCAGGCACAGAAATCCCTGGAAAAACCCAACTTACGCCATCATGATGACACTGAAATCCAGCCAGTTCCAGGGATCCCTCAGGAAGGTGAAGCCATCTATACAGAAACCTCTGGCAATGATTTTCACGAGTGATTCAAACGTATAAATCCCGGTGAATGTGTACCTGGCAGGAGGAAATGTCATTTTAGTAAGGGGNGAAGGGTACTGGGCTCTGCCGCTGCCGGCACCCTCCTGCTCCCATCCCCGGGTTTATAAACCCTCCTCACACCTGGGTCTGAGAGGCCTTTCCCAACCTTGTCCCAAACTGAAGGAGGACAGGTTCAGATTAGATATTGGGAAGAAATTCTTCCCTGTGAGGGTGGGGAGGCCCTGGCACAGATTGCCCAGTGCACCCTGGAAGTGTCCAGGGTCAGCTGGATGGGGCTTGGAGTAACCTGGGATAGTGGAAGGTGTCCCTGCCCATGGCAGGGCGTTGGAACTGGATGATCTTTAAGGTTCCTCCCAACCCAAAGCATTCTGTGATTCTAACTGGATTTGCTCAGGTTATGGTCTCCCCACACGATGTCATTTAACTCTGCAGTGAGATCTGCTCTCAGGGGTTTTCCATCACAAGCAGGTTAGACCCACACAGCTGTAACCACAGGAATAGATTTTCCCAGCCTTTCTTCCAAGTATAACATGAAAAAAAGGAAAATAAACTCACCCCATTCGTGGTGCAGGTCAACGTGGGCTGCTGGAAACAGCTATTATATTGAAAAGCAACAATTCTGATGCCACACGTTGTGAACTGAGGGGTTCCCGTGGGATTTATGAATGACTACACCCCCTCCAATTCTCTCTTTACTCCCACTGGGCACAAATTCAATGCCAGCTGGTGTGTGGGAGTTTTGGGGTCAGCTGAGATTGTATGAGCCTGTTTGGTAAGTCACCTCTGACATTTTGAGCAAGGCAGGGATATTATCATTGATGCTTCTTCTGAGGAAGAATTGCAAAATCTACATCCAACCCAAGTCTTCAAACCTTTAACCCACTCAAATTCCAATCCATTGGCAACAGGCAGGGTCTGTGTCATACCCTTGCCTAAACACGTCCAGAACACACCTGGGCTGGCAAAACAACAAAACCAAAAACAGTTTTACTGTGGTAAAACCGCTCCCCACCGCAGCAAATTTCACCTTTCTGAATTCTGTCTCCTTTCAAGGTAAAATCTCCCCTGTGCTAAAAGAAGCCCACGTGGCAATCCTCCCTTCCAGCCTGTGCAACAGCTCTGCGGGCTACGCGGGGCTCATGAGCGACAAAGCGCTGTGTGCGGGCGCCTGGGCCGGGGGCACCGACAGCTGCCAGGTGAGAGGGTGTGCCAGTCCAGCCAGGTGAGAGGGGANCAACAGCACTGCAGTGCTGCAGGCTGGAAGGGAACCCAGCCCCGGCACGGTGCTCGGGGAGGGACCCGGACACCAAATCCAACAGGAGAGGCACAAAAACCATGAGAATATGGCACAAAAACTGTGAGGATATGGCACAAAACCAGTGAGGATATGGCACAAAAACCGTGAGAATATGGCACAAAAACTGTGAGAATATGGCACAAAAACCAGTGAGGATATGGCACAAAACCAGTGAGGATGTGGCACAAAAACTGTGAGGATGTGGCACAAAAAATGAAGATATGGAACAAAAACCAGCGAGGATATGGCACAAAACCAGTGAGGATATGGCACAAAAACCATGAGGATGTGGCACAAAACCATGAGGATGTGGCACAAAACCCAGTGAGGATATGGCACAAAAACCATGAGGATATGGCACAGAACCAGTGAGGATGTGGCACAAAACCAGCGAGGATATGGCACAAAACCAGTGAGGATATGGCACAAAAACCCATGAGGATATGGCACAAAAACCAGCAAGGATATGGCACCGAAACCATGAGGATATGGCACAAAACCCAGTGAGAATATGGCACAAAAACCATGAGGATATGGCACAAAAACCGTGAGGATATGGCACAAAAACCGTGAGGATATGGCACAAAAACCGTGAGGATATGGCACAAAAACCATGAGGATATGGCACAAAAACTGTGAGGATATGGCACAAAACCAGTGAGGATATGGCACCAAAACCAGTGAGGATATGGCACAAAAACTGTGAGGATGTGGCACAAAAACCATGAGGATGTGGCACAAAACCAGTGAGGATATGGCACAGAAACCATGAGGATGTGGCACAAAAACCATGAGGATGTGGCACAAAAACCATGAGGATGTGGCACAAAAACCAAGAGAATATGGCACAAAAATCTTGAGGATATGGCACAAAACCAGTGAGGATGTGGCACAAAAACCATGAGGATGTGGCACAAAACCAGTGAGGATATGGCACAAAACCAGTGAGGATATGGCACAAAAACCATGAGGATATGGCACAAAAACCATGAGGATATGGCACAAAAACTGTGAGGATATGGCACAGAAACCATGAGGATGTGGCACAAAACCAGCGAGGATGTGGCACAAAAAATGAGGATATGGAACAAAAACCATGAGGATATGGAACAAAAAATGAGGATATGGCACAGAACCAGTGAGGATGTGGCACAAAACCAGTGAGGATGTGGCACAAAAACCGTGAGGATATGGCACCAAAACCAGTGAGAATATGGCACCAAAACCAGTAAGGATATGGCACAAAACCAGTGAGGATGTGGCACCAAAACCATGAGGATGTGGCACAAAAACCAGCAAGGATATGGCACCAAAACCAGCAAGGATATGGCACCAAAACCAGTGAGGATATGGCACAGAACCAGTGAGGATGTGGCACAAAACCAGTGAGGATATGGCACAAAAACCATGAGGATATGGCACAAAAACTGTGAGGATGTGGCACAAAAACCATGAGAATATGGCACAAAAACCATGTGGATGTGGCACAAAAACCATGAGAATATGGCACAAAAACCATGTGGATGTGGCACAAAAACCACCAAGGATATGGCACAAAAACCATGAGGATATGGCACCAAAACAAGTGAGGATATGGCACCAAAACAAGTGAGGATATGGCACCAAAACCATGAGGATATGGCACCAAAACCGTGAGGATATGGCACAAAAACCAGTGAGGATATGGCACAAAAACCATGAGGATGTGGCACAAAAATCTTGAGGATATGGCACAAAAATCTTGAGGAAATGGCACAAAAATCTTGAGGAAATGGCACAGAACAAACCCTAGAGCCGTCTGGAATAGGGTCCCTCAAGCAAGGAAAAAGATCAGCAGTAAGGTCNTAAAGAATAAAGGAGGGATTTATTATTGAAAAGGCCTTTACAGCAGCACAAGAGCCTGGCCATGGCACTTACTGTCCACCCAAGATGGCTCATTGGCTCTTGGCTCGCTGTCCACCCAAGATGGACAATAGTCACGAGATTTCGTACAATTATAAGTTTTTATTTATACTCATCAAGCCCTGAGGGTGTAGATGACACCTTGAGGGGCACCCTGGAACAGACAGAGTTAAAGAATAAAGGAGGGATTTATTATTGAAAAGGCCTTTACAGGATACTCTTTGGGCAGCACAAGAGCCTGGCCATGGCACTTACTGTCCACCCAAGATGGCTCACTGGCTTTTGGCTCGCTGTCCACCCAAGATGGACAACAGTCATGAGATTTCGTACAATTATAAATTTTTATTTATACTCATCAAGCCCTGAGAGTGTAGATGACACCTTGAGGGGCACCCTGGAACAGAGCTAGGCAGAGTTAAAGAATAAAGGAGGGATTTATTATTAAAAAGGCCTTTACAGGATCCGCCTTGGGCAGCACAAGAGCCTGGCCATGGCACTTATTGTCCACCCAAGATGGACAATAGTTACGAGTTCTCGTACAATTATAAATTTTTATTTGTACTTTTCAGGCCCTGAAGCTGTAGGTGACGCCTTGAGAGGTTCCTGGAACAGAGCTAGACAGAGTTAAACAATAAATTACACATTTATTAAAAGGATATCCTCAAAGGATACACCTTGGGCAGCACAAGAGCCTGGCCACGGCACTTATTGTCCACCCAAGATGGAAAATAGTCACGAGTTTTCATACAATTATAAATTTTTATTTATACTTTTCAAACCTGTCTAAGGCTGCAGGTGATGCCTTGAGAGGTTCCTGGAACTGAGCTAGACAGAGTTAAACAATAAATTACAGATTTATTAAAAGGATATTCTCAAAGGTTACACCTTGGGCAGCACAAGGGCCTGGCCATGGCTCCACTAAAGATGGACACCAGTCATCAGTTTTCACACTTTTATAAGTTTTGGTTCATTTCTATATTGGGTTAATTGTCCAGTTCCAGCTCCAGGTTATGCAGTCCCATCCTCACAGATTCCTCAATTCCCTGCTGTTTACACTTTTTGGGCCTGAAGCTGCAGCTCTTGGCTCTGGNTGGGCACCACAGCTGAGCCCCCTGGGCAGGGAGAAGGAGGCCGAGGGCACCTGAGCTGTGTCCCAGGGTGGCCAAAGGAGCAGAGCAGGGATTGTCCCCCTGTGCTGGGCACTGAGAGGCCCCTCCAGTGCTGTGTGCAATGGATGGAGCACAGCCAGAGCCAGGAGCAGAGCTGGGGAAGGGGCTGGAGCTCTGACTGAAAAGTCCAAGCTCTGCCTGATCCTCACCTTGGCCACAGCATTGATCCTCTCCCATGCCAGGTTTTCTGCCCCCTTCCCCAGCCCACTCCCCCAAAGTAGTTTGGGTTGCTTTGTTCCACAGAGCTCTGATTTTTCTGGTTAACCTCACCACAAAATGTTTTGATATTTAGATTACAAACGCTCCAATTCATCAGTTTTAACACAATTTCCCTTTTTTTTTTTTTTTTGTTGATCAGAACCAACAATTTGCCACTTAAGGTTTTGTTTTTTGAAAATGTGGCAATAACTCCTCAGAACAGATTTTTAACTGCACTTACAGCAACTCTGGAGCATTTCAGCTCCCAGCACTGGTCTCTTTCCCAGCCTTTACCACAGTTGCACAATCTGCATCTGTCAACATCCACTGTTGACTCAACCATGACCTGGGGGAAAGTGAACTGTAAAAATCGGCAAAACTTGAAATTTTGTCCTTTATCAGGACTTCGTTACATCAGCTTCTTGTTTGCATTTAACAAATATTTATTTGCAATATAATTTCTCTTGAAATTATCAATTTAATTTTTACCTTAACTTTGGAAGCTAATTTCAATTTTATAGCTCCAATCCAATCCAATCCAATCCAATCCAACCCAACCCCTTCCAGGATCCCAGGGCTCTATGAAAACAAACTGTGAAACCGATGTAAAACCCACCTGAATTCTCATTTTAAAGATGAGCTTTAAGGTGCCTCCAACCCAACCCATTCCTGGATCTCTATGAAAACAAATGGTGAAACCGACGTAAAACCTACCTGAATTCTCATCTTCAAGATGAGCTTTAAGGTACCTCCAATCCAATCCAATGCAATCCAATGCAATCCAATGCAATGCAATCCAATCCAATCCAATCCAATCCAATCCAATCCAATCCAATCCAATCCCATCCAATCCAACCCAACCCCTTCCAGGATCCCAGGGCTCTATGAAAGCAAACGGTGAAAGCAATGCAAAACCCATCTGAATTCTCATCTTCAAGATGAGCTTTAAGGTGTCTCCAATCCAGCCCATACCTGGATTGCAGGGCTTTATGAAAACAAACTGTGAAACCGATGTAAAACCCTGCAAATTCTCATCTTCAAGATGAGCTTTAAGGTGTCTCTAATCCAACCCAACCCATACCTGGATCCCAGGGTTCTATGAAAACAAACTGTGAAACTGATGTAAAACTCACCTGAATTCTCATCTTCAAGATGAGCTTTAAGGTACTTCCAATCCAATCCAATCCAATCCAATCCAATCCAATCCAATCCAATCCAATCCAATCCAATCCAACCCAATCCAATCCAATCCCTTCCAGGATCCCAGGGCTCTATGAAAACAAACTGTGAAACCGATGTAAAACCCTGTGAATTCTCATCTTCAAGATGAGCTTTAAGGTGCCTCCAATCCAGCCCATACCTGGATTGCAGGGCTTTATGAAAACAAACTGTGAAACTGATGTAAAACCCTGTGAATTCTCATCTTCAAGATGAGCTTTAAGGTGTCTCCAATCCAATCCAATCCAATCCAATCCAATCCAATCCAATCCAATCCAANCCCCCCTAAAACAATCCAGACAAACAATAAACAAGTGAAAAAGAGTTGGTTTGAGCTCAAAACAGACTTTCAGCCTTTAAAGTAGCATTTTCATAGAACTACGGAATGGTTTGGGCTGAGAGGGACCTTAAA